ACCAAGGAAAACAGACTCTTCCAATTTTTATCTGTGCAAAGCTAAGTATGGGTTTTTATAAGAAAGCAAATACACAGAAAACACCATTGGTTTACAAAAATAAAAAGTCACATCTGAAAATGTCTTCAAAACATATCTAAAGGTCACTAGAAACAAGGCCTAGCTGTTACAAGACATACCTGAAGAAAAAAAATCTTCAAAAAATAGTCAAACATTGAATTACTGGAAACTAGGCCTTAAATTTGGCTTTGTGTTGCTTTTTAATTGGAAGGCAATGTTAACAGGCTCTAAACTTCATACACACAAGAAGTCACACTCCATAGTGATATCTCTCTCAAATTCTAACTAACCTTCCATAAGGCACTAAAAAAATACCTTATGGAATTCAGATATCAAAGGTATTTGGTCTGCATACCTTTTCAACAGGGCATTCAGACCAAAGAAACACAAGGGTTTTAAGCAGACATCAACAGATATGCTGAGTTACAGAACTGGTGCACATCCTGTGCTACAGGCTGCTACATTGGCTGCTGCTACACATAAAGCTCATTTTACAAAACCAATCCATACAAACGAAATATTCTTTAAAAATTAACATCAGTTTTGGCTGACACATTTAAAACCAAAACCAACTCAAACTTCCACGTCAGTTTACACTCTGCTTAAAATCTAGGATAGATTCATCAGTTCCCCAAGCAGGGTCTGCTCCCCAAGCACTGTCTTTTGATTTTGCTACTGCAACTTCATGGATTATTATCAGTTACTGAAAAAAATGGTGGTAGCAAATATATTTCATAGAAATCTAACAAATTCGGGGAACCAGAAATGCGATATTTAATACCGATAATGTAAAATATGTGGTTTCAAGGTAGGATGTATAGATGGGAGTGCAATATTTCTGGTTCACACTAATTTTCCTTTGGCAGTCACGTGGACAGTATATAAGCCATAATAATTATATTTTTATCAGATTTCTTATTAATGCATCAGTTCTTAAAACGTAGGCCTGAAGAGCAGAAAATTCACATTCAAAAAATTTACTCATGTGTCCAACATAATATTTCTTATATACATTGAAATCTTTAAACCTTCCTTAGTGTTTCTATTTCAAAGTTATAACATGATAAATGTCAGTACAAAAAAACATATATACCATGGAATAACTTTCTCCAGAATATTTTCCCCTGTTCTTCAGGATTGTAATAAAGGAGAGGAAATCTCAAAGTATATTTCTTGATTCATTCTTGCCCTATTAAACACTAGAAAGTTGAAAATCAATCTGCCATGGAATAACTTTCTCCAGAATATTTTCACCTGTTCTTCAGGATTGTAATAAAGGAGAGGAAATCTCAAAGTATATTTCTTGATTCATTCTTGCCCTATTAAACACTAGAAAGTTGAAAATCAATCTGCTGACCATTATTACTATCAGATGACAGGTTAATAATAAGATGACATGACAAATTCACTCTTTTTTAACATATACATTAAGCCATTGGATGGGGCTTTGAGCAACCTAGTCTAGTGGAAGGTGTCCCTCTCCATGACAGGGTGGTGGAATTACATGATTTTTAAGGTCCTTTCCAACCCAAACCATTCTATGATTATGTGATTTTAGCAAGTTCTGGTTGTTGAGGTGTGATGGTTTTAGTCTAGGCCTTCCTTGGTGACCAGTTTGTAACCAAGGAAGGAGCCAAGTACCCAGTATTCCACACAATTTTTACGTAAACCAGAGTATAAATAAGTCGGAGATTAGAGACCTCGCTCTCTTCTCTTCCGGCGAGGTTTGGGAACAGTGGGTCCCTGCGTTGGTCTCGCTTATC